GGAGGAAGAGGAAGAGGAGGAGGAGGAGGAGGAAGAGAAGGAAGAAGAAAAGGAGGAGGGAGAAAAGGAGGAAGAAGAAGAGGAAGAAGAAGAGGAGGAGGAAGAGAAGGAAGAAGAAAAGGAGGAGGGAGAAAAGGAGGAAGAAGAAGAGGAAGAAGAAGAGGAGGAGGAAGAGAAGGAAGAAGAAAAGGAGGAGGGAGAAAAGGAGGAAGAAGAAGAGGAAGAAGAAGAGGAGGAGGAAGAGGAGGAAGAAGAAGAAGAGGAGGAAGAGGAGCAGGAGGAGGAAGAAGAGGAGGAAGAGGAGGAAGAGGAGTAGGAGGAAGACCATGGGGTCCTTACAGGGGTGGGTTGCTGCGGCATTGCTGCCAGTTCAGTGAATAATAATAATAATAATAATAATAATAATAATAATAACAACAACAACAACAACAATAATAATAATAATAATGGCACACTGGGTGCTATTCCAAAAGCACTGGAATTACATTTAAAACAGTTAAAAATTGGCAAAATCACCATCTGTCAAATGCAAAAAGCTGCACTGCTTGGATCTGCACGCATATTACGAAAATACGTTACGACGTCCTAGGCCCCTGGCTGGGGCCCGATTAGTAACCAATGCCAAATCCGGCGAAACAACTGGACGCTGTGATACAATTGTATAATAATAATATTATTTCAGCCCAGTTAAAATTAGGACAAGTGAAATGAATCTCTGATTTGCCAAACACACAACCCACCAAGGCAGGTGGGGGATGAACCTCTTGTAGATGATGACCGATGACAGCATGAAAGCTCGGTCAATATGTTTACCCTTCCATTTGTCAGGAACGACCCATGGCTGGGTTTTCTTTATCATCCGAGGAACATCTCAATCGATAAAAGCATCGAAGGAGACAGGGCTAAGGATGGCCTAAAGACAGGAACGCCTGCTTCCTTAATCTACCAGTGGGGTGGGGTGGGGGAACCAGCCCTCCCTTGCAACTTCTAAAGAGCCCTCTGAGTGATTAAACCACAAATTTGATCTGATTTAAGGCACAGATACCATTAAAGCGTCCGTCATGCATTATGTATCATGAAAGCCAGTCCGTGAACTTGCAACTCCCACTTTAGGAAGATGACATGCGTTACAGCCGACAGATGTGCCCAGATCAGATTGTGGAGTTAACAGAGTTGTGTTAACTCTCCTCTTTTGATGGAGTGTTATAAAGCTGGGAGGGGCAGCAGGGCGATTGACTTGTAGAGCTGAGTAGCAGTGGATCTACTGCTTCTCATTGTAAAAGGGGGGAGAAGGGGGGGCAGGCTGTTGAAAACCCGCAGATGTAGAAGAGAAAAATAGAAGTGTCATTCAGTTGGCTAGGTAGGACCAAAAGGAGAATGCTTAACTGAGACCCTTAACTTTCACCCTAACCCTCACCCTCACCCTAACCCTAACCCTTCACCCTTAACACTCACACTCACACTCACCCTTAATCCTAACCCTAACCCTTAACGCTAACACTAACCCTAACTAACAACTGCAGTCATTCACTTAACAAATGGAATGGAATGGAAGAAGCTTCTTGGATGAGAAGCAAAATGTCTTCAAAGAAAAAAACAAACTCCAAACTCCAGTTGCCTTTTGAAAAAGCACCTTTGGGACAACCATGACCTGGATGACTGAGAATCTCCATTGACATTCTCATGTTTGTTCATTCCCAGGATGTAAGAAATGGCCTCTGGTCATCTCGTATCCTTTAGGGCAGGGGTCTCCAACCTTGGCAACTTTAAGACTTGTCGACTTCAATTCCCAGAATTTCCCCATCCAGCGAAACTGGCTGAGGAACTCTGGGAGTTGAAGTCCACAAGTCTTAAAGTTGCCAAGGTTAGAGACCCCTGCTTTAGGGGACACTGGAGGAGAAAAGCTGGAAACATCTCAACCGTGGGCAGTTGGAGATGGGAGATCTTCAGGCTAGCTTGGGGATTCTGGGAGCTGAAATCCACCCATCTTCAAGTGGTCAAAGTTGAGAGATACTATAGGAGCAAAAAGATAGGAGACATCTAGTAGCTACTTTTCCCCTGAATTAACTTGTTTTATTAAAGGCACCAACTTTTGTGAGCTGCAGCTTCCTTTACAGATGTTATCTGCGGCATCTGGTGAAGGGAGATGCATCTGGTGAAACTGATGGCTTTTGAGAAAATCTGTTGGTTGGAAAAGGTGTTACCAGAGCTGAACTCCATACGGTCAAACATGGCTTGCAATAGTCACCCTGCCAGCAACCCTGAAGCTTCTAAGGGAGAAGAGAAGGAAGGAAGGTGAACCTACCACAATGATGAACAGAGCTGGGGCCACAAAAGCCCAGATGGCACCGCTCTCCAATGACAGCCAACAGCTACAAAGAAAGAGGGAAAGATATTGTGATATTGTAGCATCAGGATGATGGGTGTGTGTGAGTTCCAAACCACCATTGATTGAAAAATATGTAATAGGGAGAAATAGCAATAGCACTTAGACTTACATAACACTTCACAGTGCTTTATATCACCATGGAAAGAAGGAAGGAAGGAAGGAAGGAAGGAAGGAAGGAAGGAAGGAAGGAAGGAAGGAAGGAAGGAAGGA